AGAATGCGTCGAAACGTTTTCGTTTCTTTTGTCTGTATTGTCTTATCTTTATCTATTTTCAGGTACATTGTGTAAAATTATTATAAGTTAAAGAAATATCAAAACTGCTAAAATTTTTGGCAACCCCCTGCTGCAATGTCCTACATCAGCAGGGCGGTGCAGGTGGTACGCAAGAGAAAAATAGGCGGTATCCAAAGAAACAAAGCATTCCGCTGTTATTTTTCAAATAGAGAAAGTCGCACATGAAACTAAATTTACTCACATTTCCATTCATCGTGAGGGCTTTAGTAGCCAAAAACTATGCCCGAAAACCTGAAAATCGTTTTGAATCAAGCTGTGAAAATTGTTAATTTTGTTAAAAGCCGAACCTCGGACCGAATTAGCAGTGTTCTGCCACTTTACCACTCGGCCGCTAATCGTTATGATAAAGAGTATTAGCTGAGCATGCTTGTGCTTCTCGGGGTTGAGCCTGAAATTTTGAAATAGTATTATAATGCTTTGATAATGTTTAATATTGCAGCAAAATTCGCGAACAGTTCCGAAAATGAATGTTTTGATATTTCCCATTTTTAAATTGAATTGCAATGTATTATTGCTCATAAACCTATTTTTCTAAGAATTTTAGACTAAAGCATCATTACATGAATATGAGCCGCCCGGCGGGAATAGTGGTTAGTGGATCTGATTGCCGTATCGAAGGACTCGCGTTCAAATCTCGCAGAAGGCCTGGATATTTGTAAATGGCTGAACGGCATGGGGACACAATAAAAATGCGGCGAGTCGAATGTACTCTCGAGAAGCAGGTGGTATAGAACGAGGGGGAGGAGAGCTGCTTCAAGACTAAGCAAGCAGCCGCACGTAGAAGTCCACTGATCATTTCTTGTAAAAAAATCTGATGTGTACACCACACGACTTCCTTGTAGGGAATATTAAATGATACGCATTTTTCTTGCATTTCATTTAAACTTATTGGATTAAATTAAATCTACCTTTGATAGCGCATAAACCACAATAGAATAAATGCACTCTTTAAAATTAACTCAATTTGTTTACCATGGCGACACTCTGGCGCTAGGTTCACTTAACAGCGTTGTATTTCATTCATATTATAACTCAGAATGCACAAAATTTATATCATTTGAAGAATTATCTAATCGTTGCCACATGTTCTATTCAAATATTATAATAAATTTTGAAAGATGTATATAAGAAATTAAGCTAAATGTATAAAAGAAACTAAATGTATACTAAGATGTATAAAAGAAATATGTAAAAAAGAAACACTTTTTCACAGACGATTCAGTATTTCTCATTGAATTAATTCAGTTCTCAATTCAGTGACAAAGCAAAAATACATAAAAACTCAAAATATCTACATTAAAAAAATTACGAAGTAAATCGTAAACACTTATTTTCTCGAAAAAATTCCAGAAAGTATTAAGCATCATTTAATTCACAATAATAAATGAAGGCGTTATCTTTGTTGTTGCAAAGCTTAGTCTCTCTAGATTGGCAACAAATTCTGCTGTTTCAAGTATGAACAAACGTGTCCGCCATGTTATTTAAAAATTAGGCTTAACCACACTTAAACAGCTTTTAAATTGTTGATAATTGTACAGATATTGCTTGCAGATTTCCTAAAGGCATAAAAACCGTAACCGGAAGATAAGAACAACATAATTCAATCATTTTTAAAGCAAAAAATGCACAATTTACAAACATATAAGCGTAAAGAAACTGAGATCGCTGAGCCGGTTAACAGAGGGAATATATCTATACATATAATATACGTTTTTGGTGCGGCCGATTGCAACCAAAATACGAGGTGCACATCTACATGTTACAGCAGTCCCCTATATATACATAGCTCTGAGGCTACTCTTTTTTTTGAGTTATGCGAGATACATACGTAAGCACAGACACCACGAAACATTCTTTTCACAATTCATTTTAACCCGCGGGAAGGCGCGTCATACCAGTGCCTCCTAGATATAAAGCCGTCGGACTGGTCTGTGACGTCACGAGCACTAGGCCTATAATATGAAACGGCGGAACTTCCGATAGCGATTTCTCCGTGCATACGAGTATGAATTTGCGTTAAATAATGAACTCTCAGAATAATCCAGAAACTATATTACCGCAATAAAAAATTTATTTTACTATCGGAATATCTTTGAACATTACAATGCAAGAGCAATAAAACTCATTAAAGATGCATTAAAATTTCATATGTAATGTAATAAGATTTGATACTTAGTCCAGCAAAACTTGATCTTGAATATCGAATTTGGCTTTATAAAACGATTAGTAGATGCTGAATTTTCAAATCATTCAATTAAAAATTAGTTCTGAAAACCAAAACTCCTCAATATCTTAAAAATTTCTGATATGTTGTTTTTATCTCATCTATAGACATAATATCATGTTTTCATAAAATCATATTCCTTGAAAATCAGAATTTAAAATTTCATCAAGGAAAATTTACATTTATTAGTCTTAAATATACTCTCAAATGTGTGGAAATTATAACATATATATATATATATATATATATATGATATAATTAAATACTCTGGCTATGTTAAGAAAGGATTGGTGGACAGACTTCTTGATTTTCAAGTAGAGGATCATAAGGCAATTTTCCATACATTAAATAAGATTGCGGGAATTTTGCAACACAATGAGGTGTATTATTACATTATTCAGTAACTTGAGGTAACAATTTTGTCCATGCAATATTAGCCTGATAAGAATTTAATTTACATTACAGTTTAATTATATTTGTTTGAGTAACTCGTTCAACTTTACCATTAGTTTGAGGCCCGTTAGTAGTTAATAATTGTTTTACATTATGATTTCTTAAAAAGTGCTTAAATTTGGAAGAAGCAGCATTTCTATCACTTAAAATTTTCTTTGGTACTTGAATTTGAAAAATTTGTCTTAAACTATTTATGTAACTATCTGTAGTTACACTTTTAGAAGCAAAAAATCCATATTTAATGAGTAGCATGATCAATAATTAAGTGAATATACATTTTAATATAATTATAATAGTTTAAACCACCAACAGTATCAATAGATAATAATTCAAAAGGTTCACATTAAACCAAATCTCTTTTGTTTACTTTTCTTATTAAACTGACATACTTCGCAATGTTTACAAAAAATTTTAGCATCTTGGACAGACAATTCCTGACCAATAATATTGACAAGATTAATATGAGCCTTTTAAAGTAATTTAGTACAAAGAGAGATTGCTATTATGATTTTGTATAATCCTTGCTTTTTAATAGTTAACACACATCATTAATTTCTTTATACTTAGGATTATATACATTATCTAAATTTTGATGCTCTTTAATTTCTTCTAATGAGAATAAATTAACTTCCAAACTTAAATGTTGACAAATAGGATTTCTAGTTAACATATCAGCTTCAATATTAGTAGAACTATTTTCATATTTTATATCAAAATCATGCATAGATAATTTTAAAGACCATCTAAATAACCTACCTGTAAGATCTTTAATGTTCTTAAGCCAAACTAAAGCAGCGTGATCAGTGTGTACAGTAAAATAATTACTGAGTAAGTATTAATAAAATTTATCTGCATCACCAATACAAAACATTCTAATTCAGTAATTGCATAATTTTGCTCATAAGACCTTAATTTTCTAGAATGAAAACCAATTTGGATGTAGGTTCCCATCCTGGTGCTTCCAACAGCTTCTTCAGATGCATCTACAAACACACATAATTACATATGTAAGATATAATAAAATATGATGGCTATGTTAAGAAATAATTGGCGACCTTAAAATTGACTATCCTAAATTTTATTTTCTCCCCCCTCCCCAAGTTCATCTGTTCTCCCAAATTCAAGATCTTTCCAAATTATTCAATTATATTTCCGAATTTCTGGGTTTACGCATCCATATTTCTAACCCTGTGATTAAAATATCATGCATGTAAATATATACACATAGTACCTACTAAGTTTTCTCATCGTACAAACTTCTAATATATCACATATATATAATAATATACAAAGATTACTTAAAAGTAACATCCAAGCATACAGTTTATATTTTAAATGAAAAAATATTTTGATGTGAAAAACATTAATATAAATCTAAATTAATTGCTGGTATGTAATGGACAACTATTGCTGTTACCTATATAAAATAATACAGTACAACAAATGAAGTCTTTAAAATTATTTATTTATATAACATATTTAAATACAATTCCATAATTTTTAATATTTTAATACAGAAACAAGAAATTAAATTACAAAAATAATAAAATTACACATATATTTACTAATGCATGTTTAGAGAGCAATTAAAATTAAAAAAGTGAAATGCACTAAAATTATTTTCAGGCCAAAAAATTATATTGGTACATTTCTAATATATTCTTTGTTTGTTATGCTTACATAGCAAGTGTTTTTAGTTTTCTTTTATCTGAATATTTAGAAAAGCTATCATTTTTGAATTTACAATAATTGTTTAAAAGAGTATTTGTGCATGAGTATATAAGCAGTTGCATAATTTTACGTGACAAATGGTTTTTACAGGAAATAATTTTAATTTCCTTACACATAAGAATTTCTAATGTCATAGTGGATATTAAATTACGTTGGTTACATACTTGGAGGAAACTATTTTCATATTCAGGGCTTATGAGCTTCTGTATGACAATAAAATTATGCAGTATTACATTAATGACATCAGCAGATGGGTACTTTAACCCACCTCTATCACAATTATGAATATGTTTGAAATTGGGAGGAATTATTAGTGGTTTTTCAATAACTAAATTACCTCCACAGTCATCACATTTTAGCCTATTCATAACTGAGTGGCAACAATATCCAGCCAAGTATGCAATTAAAGGTAATTTATCAACCATAGTTTCAAGATCATTATCTGTGACATTAATATGCTTGAAATTATGAAAATATTTTACAATAGATTCATGGGAACTATCATTAATCAAATCAAAAGAGTTAGAAAAGTCATCGATAACAATTGTCCCTTTACTTTTCGATATCATAGTTAGATTTAATACAGAACATGCACGTAGTTTGTTTTCTACTTCAAAAACCTGTCGAAGTGATATATGATAATTTGTTCCAGCCATCCTGCGATATAAACTAAAACGATGTTCCAATTCATCTGTCTGAATTTTACCGGGCAAAAAATACGACATGTTGAGTTCACCTAGACAATACCTACACATTTCTATCATACACGTTGTTGTTAATATAAGAGCAGAAAGTGTCTCTTTTGTCAACCTACCCGTATCACTCTTCATTTCTTTCCATTTCATCAACCAATCAAGAAAATTATTTAAAAATACAAACTTCTTGTCTGATTCATTCCATACTAATGGTTTACAGAAGTCATCACAAGAATGTACCCCCTTGTTTGGTGTTTTAACATTCATTATTGAAAACCACGACGAAAATATTTTAATATATGCAGATGTTTCGTGAAAATTTAACAAATTATGCTTTACTCCTAATTCTTTCAGGCCTTGTGATGTTTGATCGTTGAAAATTTGTAAAGCCAGTTTCACACTTTGACGTTCTAAATTTGTAGGCCACAGAGCTTTACGAGATATTGTATATCCATATTTTAACAAATTACCACTTTCAGCTTCATACATATTTTTTAAAGTAAGAAATGAAGAGGTACATACATTATTTGAAGACAAGTCAAAATTTGGAAAATACATAGCTTGTTCAGGGTTTTTCTGGTTTAACCAGTTGTTACGAACACTTTTAATAATATGAACAGAATCAACTGCATAAAACAATGGACGAGTTGCATCAACAGGATGAGGAAATACAAAATTTGATAATGGATTATTAAACAGAGATATACATCTTCTATTAATGGAATTATTGTCACTAACAACAACAATTACTTTGAAACCTATTGCTTCAAGACCAACAATTATTTTTTTCAAAACAGTGAACAAAACTTCAGCTGTCATTTTCTTCGATGGTAATATATGGACAACATCTTTAAAGCAGCACAAAATACTCTGTATCATAAATACATGTGCACTAGAAGCTAAGTTATCAACTTCCTGGCCAATTCCAACAATATCTCCACTTTTGTAGTCAAGAAAAGGTCTGATGTGAATTTCATCCATCATTAATGAAACATATAATTCATGCTCTTTCAGATAGCAAGCTTTTTGCTTAGCATATGCCAAAAACAACATATCATCTGTTTCCTTTTGGGGATTTACATTTAATTTAGAACTTATTTTATGTATAGTACTTGGATGAGGCAAAATTAAATTACCAGATTGTCGGACAAATTTATATGCTTGGGGCGATAACAAATAAAACATAGAAGCTAAAATTAAGGTATTGGATGAATATTGACGATTTTGGGGCTTACATTTTACAAGAGAAAGTTGTTCAATCATGAACTCAAATAAAATTTTATCACCTTCATTTGTGAAACTTAAAGATTTCATCAGGTTGATTATAATTTCAATCGAATTCATTAAGTCTTTAGTTTCTAACATTTCAATATGATCAAGTATTTCATGAATTTCATTAATATTACTTACTTTTATAGGTAACTCATTATACTTACTACTGATATGAGTCAATAACTTATTTTGAAACGATACAGATAATAAAAGATCTGCAGTAATGTGGACTGCATAAAGCAATTTTACACATCCATCAGTGCATTTTAAATTCAAAAACATCAAGATATTGTCTTTGTGCACAACGTTCCAAAATGTAGAAAATTATATTGCATACAACAGGTTAAAAGTTCATTAAAGTCTGAAAATGTCCTCGATTTATAATACTCAGCAGCTGATAATTTACTATGAGCAATAGCTTTCATCATGAGGTTTGCTTCTCGTTCCATTTTTTTCTCATTCGGACTTTTTCTCGAACTACCAGCTTGTGAAGATAAATACGATGGACAGCCATCAAATATGCTAGGAAAAGCGCCTTCTTTTAGTTTTGGTCTCTGCAGTGAAGCTTTAATGATTTTCCCATTTTTTTCATCGAAAGCTGATGTTTCCCAGATGAGGTCATCAGGTTGAAAATGTTTATGGCACACCTATTAAGTAAAAGGAAGACATCATGTAACTAACTTCTTAAAACAACCAACTGTAAAGCAAGATTGGAATCACTTTCCTTATAAATAAAAACATTCAAGCTTTGGCAATGCTTTGGGCAGGTTAAATTTTAAATGCATATATGCAAATTAAAATTTTCTTTCAAATATTTAAGGATCAGTTAACACTACATATAAAAAATCTGATCATGACAGCATACGACCTCCCGCCTATTCTATGGCTTATACAGCAACGAGCTTCGAAGTATCATTAGCCCTTGATTGTTTGTAAATTAAATGTAATTTGTTGATTCATCAAATAGAAAACTATACACTGAAACCTATTTATACATGTTGGCGGGAGGTAAAAATTATAGCTTGCAGAAAGTTTCCATAGCAGACTAAGAATATTCTACCAACAATTTATTGAATCTTAATAAATTAATTAGGATTACACCTACCCGAGAATATGGAGTTGCTGAGAAGTCCTTCCTAGGTATATTTCTTAGCCACCTCTCTCTAAGAGCATCATTTTTGGGAAAGGAAAATGTATGCACCTTTTCAGTACCTTTATAATTTCCCCGACAACCAGTTACACAGCATTTAAATGGCATATTTTCTGTAAAAACAGTACAAAAATCAGTTATATAAATACTAAATGTTATAACAATTTAAATTTGCATAATTATACATTGAAATTCGATACACCATAAACCAATGGTGGAGAATTTCAAATGTCATTCAAACATTTGAATGAATGAGACTTCAAGAAATTCGTATCTGAAGAACACCTAAGCTTCTATTAAGATATCTATTATTATACTGAAATTATTACTCGCATCAATGATGATAATTTTGATATTTAAAACATGCTGAAACAGTCAAATGAAAATAATATCAAACTTCAGGTGAATCATGTTTAGAATATTTAGAATATTGAACAGTAAAATATATACGTGAAATCTGAAGAAAGACTTTGTTTGGTAAACTAAACACTATTTATGGAATGTTAAGATGAATTTACTGCTTTAATATTTAAATACATTGTATGCAAATACACAGTATAAATTTAGAAACCACATAAAATACATCTTTCAATAGTGATAAGTTAATATATAATTAAACTCACAATAAAACAAACGTTTTTACTAGACTGTTCTTCAAATACTGAACGCTTTGATCACATAACTTTTAAAGTTTGCCATTATCACTTATACTTACACTCATTATACAATGCACTCACATTTATTCTACACACTCACATATTAGCGTACATACGTTTGTTAACTGATATACGTAATTATTAATTTAACTAGATTTATTGTATAGGTTTACTTTCAATTACATTTTTAAAAACTGTTAAGCTTTATATAAATGATTAGGTTAAAAATTCGTAAAACAGTAATGAAATAATAAAAAAAACTTTTATAAAAGAAAATACGTAACATTAGATACTGCACACATAAAATTAAAACTTCGGTGATGCACTTAAACAAAATATATTAAGTAAATTCAGAAATAAGATTAATAATAATAATAATGGCTAATCAATACGAAGATAAACATAATAAGTATACGTGTGTTACTAATAATTAAGCAATTAATACTTAATTTAATTCAACATTAGTAATAGCAAGCGTTTATTTCAATGAACAAAATATAAAGTTACATTTCAATAAATACGAACTTACCAAGTATTTCTTCTCTCCGACAGCACGTGCTAACATTCCAGTCTATGTACACCGCAAAGCAATGGCTTCCCAATTGAGAATCCAAACCTCGAGAACATCACGTGGGCCTATTAACTTTGACGTCACACTTGTTTCTACAACCTGTCCATTGGCTTTATAATCTAGGAGGCACTGGTCATACCCCACTACTACAGAAAAGTAGAAATTCTACTTGTGAAATGAATTCTGTTGCATTCAGTAGGTTTTAGTTGGGACTTTCAAAAGCTTTTTTGCCTGGTGTTTCAGAAACAGATTTTATCGGTATTTTGTTGGAACTTGGATATGACACACCCCACGCGCCTGTTCGCGTAAGTGTTTTTCTGACCGAATATTTAGTTCAGAAATTTATTTCTGGAGTGTAACAGTACATATTTCTACTCGCAAGTGATTTTAAAGTACTTGACATTAAATTCTTGAACATTTCTAACCAAATTATCGTAAAAAGAATGACTCCTTATGAATTGCAGATGCAACGCCTGTGATATTTATTAGAAATATTTGAAAGCGATGAAGATTGCATTTTGGAAACTGAAGATGAAACTAGAAATATTTTCTACAGTGTTTTCATTTCGAAAAAGATAAAACATTAATTCCTGATGTTCCTAAAAAAGCAAAAACCGTTCTTATGCTTTCAACATTACATAACGATCATACTATAGATGATACTATTGGAGAAAATAAAACGCCAGGAATTATATGTTTTTATAATATGACTAAAGGAGCAGTGGATATGGGGTCAGCCAATTATTCAATTGCCAGAATAACAAGGAGGTGGCCAATGATAATTTTCTTTCCTGCACTGAATGTTGCTGTAATAAATGCTTGAATTCTTTTACATTCAACTGCTAATTCACCAACCACAAACAGAAGTCTGTTTTTGAAGAACTTGGCATTACAATTAATGAAATTGTAATGCTAATGTATTGAACAAAGATCAGAGATTAATACTTTACCAAGAAACTGACGTACTGCATACAAAACAAAAGCATAAGTTTCGACGAAGAATTAAAACGAATACATGAAATTCGAAACAGATAAGTATGAAAGATGTGATAAATTTTTTGCCCTCGCGCCAAGGACAGAAGAACGTGAATGCAATGTTTAAAATGTGAAAACATTCTGTGCCAAGAACACATGAATGTATTTCGTTCAAAGTGTGAAGAAATAAAATAAGCATTGTTTATTAGAGATGCAATGAAACTTAGAGGCAGGATGTTTATTTTTTAATTATTTTCATTTCTCTTAATTTTAAGATTATTTTGGAAATTATTTTTTTGAAACCCAATTATTATTCACGTATTTATAATACACGAGAACAAGAAAAACCGCTTGAAAATAAATAAAACTATTTTTATCGTATTTTAAATATTGGGGTATGTGATACCCCACGCGCCCACTCTAGTAACTTTTCTTGGTGCGACTTCCGCCGGGTTAAAGCAGTTTTATAATTTTTTTGGAGTCTTTTATTCTGTCCTTACGTACAGATGTCACGGAAAACATCATTAAACTGCATTCGATAGTGGTCAAAATGGATATTTTCTTTGAAATATGCTGCCTGAAACTTTTCGCGATTACAATACTTCCATTTTACTTCGTACAAAAAAGTAAAAAGGAAGAGATGGGTATCAAGGCCATAACCCTTCACTCATATCCGTACTAAGTCTCCAACATCGCCGGATTTTTGCACTTTTAAACTTTTAAAAAGCTGATTGTCCGGACGTCGACTTAGAACCCTTGTTGGATTTTGGAAAGCTGGTCAAGAAGAATGGGATAAAATACCTCTTATACTAGATAAAAAGCGTCATTATCTTCGAAATTACAGCGTGTAAAGATAGTGAAGAATAAAGGTTATCAATTGGAACATGTAAAACACAAAAAGTTTAGGTAAAATATTTCTAGAAATGAAAATCGTCTAAAAATTGTGCGAACAGCTTCAGTACAAAATGTTTTTCTCCATTGGGTAGACTGCTTTTATGGGCTTTGTCGCATTCAGTTAGATGTGTTGGGAAAAGAATGATTTCATTTTGATACCATTCAATGTAACGGAGCGTTACAGAACCTTAATATAAAGCGAAAAGTCACTCTGACAACAAATACAGTTCGGTTGATTTTATTTGTCAACAAAACATTTAAGTAGAATTTTCATTTTGTTTTTTGTAGTTCACTGGCTAGCTCGAAATTAACACCTTGATTGCAGTTTAACTAGGGTTAGATTGTTATCAAATGCATAAAACTACGGCGGTCGTAAATTCTAAATCTTGTCATTGCAGTTTGTGGTAAAGAATAATAAAAACAGCTGCTATGAAGTTTATCGTAAAATACCCCGGAATCTGCGAGTGGCGCCTTTTAGCCCAAAAGGGATATTGTTCCGAATGGGATATTAGTCTCAAAACTGCATTTTGCGTTGAATTACAATAAACGGCGAATCATTTATCAAATCGTTGCCACCGAATATTATCGCTCCGTATTTAGAAATTAAATAATGAAGAATCTGCATGAATGTATAGATATTTCTAACATGAGAACCTGGAAGGGAAGCCCGATTTTTGAATTTGAAGCCCGAGTTTGTTTTATTATCTATTTCATGTTTTGTAAAACAGTAACAAATTTTTTAATAACAAACTCAACGATTTCAAAGCGAACAGTAGCAACATTGTACGGAATGAAACATTTTTATCTCCAGCGCGCGAGACTGTCTATCGAAAATTATAAAGATATGCTTTCTTAAAATATTTCGTGATTTTGCTGTTGAACCGAATTTTATGTGACGTAAACGCCAAGAACGGGATATTTAATACATAAAATAAACACCAAACGTTAATAATAAAAAAGACAAAAACAAAAGTTTTGTAAAGCCATCTTAGTAAGAAAACTGAACATTAATTCGATGAACTGAGAAAAAAACTGAAAAGGGGGGGAAACAAAACAAAACAAAAAAAAAAAAAAAAAAAAAAAAAAACTGAAAGGTTTCAGATTTTAAGTTACGTTTTTGAACGTTTTGTGTGTTACCTTTATTTATTAAATATCATGTTCTTTGCACTTAAACCATAAAATACAGTACAATAGGAATGTCGCAAAATAATTTTAAAATGAGCCTATCTTTAGAATTTCCGAAACACAGTTCGACGCGCTGGAGATAAAAAGGTTTTTTTACCGCCCCCCCCCCGTAGAGTATTGCCATTGCTCGTTCTTAAATGCTTGAAATTGTTAATCAAAAATTAGTTATAGGTTTACAAAATATGAAATCGATCACAAAACAAATTTCAAATTTGGTCTTCCACATGCCCATATTCGTAGGAGGATGACGTCATTCAAAATTCGATGGCTCTATGTACCGTTGTTTTATCACAGTGCGAGAAATATACGTACATTTATGCAAATTTTTCATTATTTAAGTTCTTCAAATATAATGTAGGACTCTAACATTGGGTGGCAACAGTTTAAAAAGTGAAACGGACATTTATAGTGATTCAACGCAAAATCGCAAAACGAAAACAATAATCCTTCAGTGACAAAGCTCCTTTGGACTAAAAAAAAAAAAAAAAAAAAAAAAAAAAATAGCAAAATGTATGCTTTAGAAATCTGTTTGATTTGAGATTCTACTCAACCTTTGTTAGTGCCATAATCCTAAATTTTAGCTGTTTTTTGTCGCGTCACTTAAGCCTATGAAGAAACACAAGTGGACAGAAGAGATGGAGCTGTCGTCAGTCACAGATCTTGGCCGCCAGTGGTGTTTGTATAACATTTTGTTCAACACCACTCTGTTTCGAATCAAGTTACTTTAGGAGATGATACTACCGTCATAACTGGTCTTCTTTCTTTCTTCTATTTCGCTTTTTTAAATAAAAATATCTTATTTCTTAGGTATAAAACTGTAGGCCCTCCTTCCTGACAGAACATACAGCTGTTTCCGGATCCATCTCATGCTGAAAAGGAAGATACCTTTAGTTCTATTTCCTTGACGTTGTAATGTTCTAGCTCAATTTGTAATCCTTGGCAGATAGATTACTTAACTGAGTACCGAATAATCGCTTAATTCTAATGTTTCACTAACAAGTCCAAAGAAGTGTTAAATTACCCTTCTATTCAACTCAAGAATATTCACAGATGTCCCTTCTTGGGCTTACAGTAAACCTCCACTTGGGCCACTCAAGATAGAAAATAAAAAACTAATTTAATTCTAATTAAACTAAAACCAGCCGAAGCTGCACAGAAATAGAAATAACTAAGAGAGTTGGTCCTTATTAAAGATCACCTGAGGATGCTAGCATTCACGTAACAATACGGCCGAAAAATCCTAAGACTTAACCCTTTGATTACAAATTTAAAAAGATTACCTCGTTTTCTATCCAAAGTATGCCATAAATAAGGTAAATTAAGCATTTAGGATTTTTTGACAAACGAGTTTCATGCCAAAGTCGTAGTTAATGGTGAGATACATACAATGACTCGAGCAATTGAGAATACATCTTACGTTTACTTGGTAAATCTAATTTTCAATATGAATAAAAGATTATCAAGAAGTGGAAACATGTTTTTATTTTTACACATAGCAATTGATTTATTTTAAAATATAAATAAAGAACAACCAACAAAAAAATCCCAAAATGAAAAATTTCAGAATCATTTTAAATAAACATATGCAGAATTTTGCCTCAAAAAATTGAGAATACAGCAATGAAAAATATGTTTAACCACCGTTATATTTTTTTCTGCGTGGCTTCTGTTATGATCTAATGTTGTGTAATCTTATCTAAAACCCTTTCACTTTTGTGATGATGTTTGTTATATGAACTTTAAGCCACACTTTTAAATGGAAAATGGCTGCTCGAAGAGAAACCAGTATTGACGTAAGGAAATTCCCACTAAAGTTATATAAAAAAGCAAAATCGTATCGTGGGTTAGCCAGAATTGTTGGAAGAAGTCACATGTGTGCGCAGAAAATCATTGGAAAATTTAAAAGTGATGGATTGATTGAAAATAAAAGTAGAAGAGGAAGGAAAGGTACTCTGATTGATGTCACCAAAAGAAAAGTTTGAAAGATATGAACGTTGATCCTGAAGTAAGTGCAATCAAACTTATCAAACTTGCTGCATGAACTTCTCAAATCATCGG